GATTAAAAAAAAAAAGAAAGAAAAAAGAGAGGGAGGGGAAGATATATTTTTTATTTAATTAAATAAATTAAAGAAAAATAATTATAAAATTAATTAGAATTTTATAAATTTATATATTAAAATTAAAGTTAAAATAAAAATTTTAGTTAAATTGGGCTTGGCGCCAAATGAATTATGAAGTCTTCGAATTAACTTTCGGAATTTTCCTTGTGGTTTTGCTTTCACGAGTCCTTTTTCGCTAGAACAGTGGCCATATTGGATCTGCTAACATCGGCATTCACTCTTTTACTACAATATCCGGTCCCCTCTCCGCCCCTACATTCTTTCATGCTGTCCATTTATTGTGTAGTGATGATGCTATGCACTCTAGCCTTATGTGCCGATGTTTCCCTCCGTAGTGCTGGTCTCAACCCTCGTACACACCATTGGAGTGAAATTTTGAGGACTATTACCATCTTGACGGGTGCTATGATAATCATTTCACTCCTTTTCATTAGCAAACCATTTATTGTCTTGGTCTTCTTACTTGTGTGGCTCCTCCTTGCTATATACGTTATTCTCAATCTTATATCGAGACTTAGCCAAACCCATGCTGCCTATGACCATCAACACAACATCCGATTCCATCAGTGCAACATTCGATTCTGTCAATGCACTACTTAGATTGGTGCAAAATTGGATAGCAAACTTCTTCCACTGGCAAACTACAGCAATTATAGAGTCTCTGTGAAGGAATTTATCACTAAATGTAGCTTTGTAGGGACAAGTTGTAAAATAATTTGACCAAATTTATGTGTTGTGCAGTAATGTATTGTAACTAGCCTCCATGCATCTTACCTATTTAATTGTCTTGCCTGTGTTCTTTTTATTATTGTTAGTAATTCTCCGAAGAATTGATGTATTTTTCGGTATTATGTTGAAAAACTTCATGGGTACTCTAATAGTCACATGTTAGACAATAAAATTTTTTAAAAGATTTTAACGAGGCTTATGAACTCAACTTTAAGGTACAACTGTTTGAAGTATAGATTTATTATTGTTTAATTTATGCTTAAAATTTTTCATAGGGAGCATTATTTCTCAAACAATATACAAAAATAATTTTTTAAGTCTAAAATTATGTCGATCTTATTGGGATTAGCTGTGTTAATATAATTTGATTTTTTAGTGTAAGTTATTTGTGCACCATTTGGATTCTTTGCATATGTTGGTAAATTCTTCAAAACCTGCTATCAAATGAATGGCTATCATGGGAGGAAAACAAAATTTTTTGATATAATCCTATTTGCTATTGCTAAGGAAACGGATGGGAATGCTGCATGTGAGAATCGAATCTCTAGCAAAGGCGGGTGACTACCGAAGTGGATGAAATAGACCATTCAAAGGAAACAAAGTGCCCGCTTGGTGAAGTTGAAGCTTTTAATAGAAGTTTTATTTTAAAAAAACTATTGTAGAAATACTATTTTTATAAATAAAAAAATAAAAATAAAATAAAAATAATGTGTTAATTTCATTAAAATTTAATTGAAAAACTCTTGCAAAAGCACCAAATTGGTGCTTTTGAGATTTACAATAAAATAAACAAAATATTAACTTGTAAAAAATTATAATACTTTTCACAAATTATAGTATTTGATACAATTAAAACTTTTAAAATCTCAAAAGATTTCTCACTAACTGTACCAAATATAACCAAAGAAACATAAGAAAAATAAGTGCATTTTAGACGTGTAGGGCCCTCTTTCTTTGGTTTTTTTTTTTTTTTTTTTTTGCCCTTTTCTCATTGCTTTTAGGGGGAAAGATACGACCTGTACCTAACCCTTTTCCTTAGTAGTTCGTTACTGGCCATAAACGGTATTAACTTTGGGGGCAGAAACGTACAATAAAAGGCACAATAATGGCTGCTACCAAAAAACAAAAAGGAACAATAATGACAGCTTTTTGTCAAAGATAAAGTAAATTTTTTTTGACTTGGGGGTTGTTTTGTAATAGGGAGGTGGCAATCATTTTTGCGACATGGGAAGAAATTTTCATTTATGAGAGACACATGACAGTACTTGTAATGGTCATCTCTTCTCCTGACAACTTTGGTGGGTGAATATTTTGGCGTTTGTTCAATTCTTGCACTTACTACTATAGAATAATAATATCCATCTCTTTTAGTTTTTACAGCTGGATCCAAACGTTTCGCAATCTCTTCTAACAATGCTGGTGAGTGAATATTTTGCGTTTATTCAATTCTTTCACTCACTAGTAGGATTGATTTGCAGATTTGGGTATTAGGGTTTTGCAGAGATGATCATCAATTTCCTTTATCCTTTTGTGGTTTTCAAGTTTGGTGCCTAAGTTGTGATGATTGTGGATCTAATTTTCAAATTGATTATAGGGTTAAGTGTTCTGATATGCTTTTGGTTGGTTTTGCCAAGTTTATATTGGTTTGGAGAATTTGGTTTCCTTTGTTGGGGGAACCCCAAATCTATCACTCAAATAGTGAGATTGGGACAAATCAACCCCTAAAAGAAAAGCTAGGATAAATTGTCTCTAATTGTGGATCACAATAAATCACTTATTATTTAATATGTGATGAAAGTTGATGTGCGAGGACATTATATGTGAATCATAAGTGATTTGTCTTGATTGACATTTTTTGAGGGGTGATTTATTCTTGTATTTTTTTGGAATGGACCTATCCCTCCCTTCTATTTTGAGGTGGATTTGGGATTCGGCCTCCTTTGTTTATGTCTTATAGTTAGTATGGTAAAATGGAAAAATAATCTATAAATAGGGTAACATCTAGTCCTTATTGTGGCTAACTATGGAGAAGGAGTTGTGTTTGGGGATGCCTATATCTCTGTATGGAGAGTTTCTTTAGTCCAGAGATGGTTGTTGAATATATGGCAACAGAATTGGTATTATCTAAAGGATTTCAAGGATTACATAACTGTTTCTGGTGGTTAAATATTCTTTGTATACATTATAAAGTTCAAGAGTACTGTTCTTGGATATCTTTCCCTCATCACAACTTTTGGTCCTTCTTAGCTCAATCTAGATTTGGAGAAACAAAAAAAATTTTCTATCTGTCTCAATCATTCCTATTTTGGTATATGGCATACTTGATGTTAGGGGAGATCTGCTATGGGGGGTGGTTTTGTTCTGGGAGCTTTAGATACCTTGTAGTGTTTGGTGCAATATACAACCCCTCCTGGATGTAGGAGTTCCCTCTGTACTTTCGGAGAATATGGGCCAATTACCTCTTCATAGTATTCAAACTTGTTGCAAAGTTTTTATGCAGGAACCTTATTCCATATGCAAGGGCAGTACGTATAGGTAGGTTGAAGGTGAATATGTCGTCCCTTTTCAAGTGTATTCTTCTATCTCTCTCCTAGGTATTGTCACGGAGAATCTTGGTGTATGGAATGGTGAACAAGCTATGGAATAGCTTTTTATTAGAAGAGGATGTCCAAACTATAGGGCGTTCTTCTTTTGGTTGCTGATAGGCTATGGTTCTCCTTCCTTCATCAGACCAACTACTTTTTAATGTTTGACACTTCTAATTGTGTTTGTTTTATCTCCTAGTTTTTGTTTATTTTGGTTTGGATGATATTATAATTAAACTTTTGCAGCTCATAGCTCTGTTCTTGGCCAAAAAAAAAAAAACACCTCTCCAAATTCCTTGTTTCTTATCCCCTAAATACATTGATTCTAATACCTCTAAATCCCTTGTTAAGTAGATGGAGGGGATGAAACCCACGAAATTCTTGCAACTTGCAAATCTCTTGTTTTTGATCTCTTTGAATCCCTTATTAGGTATATGGAGGGGATGAGGTTATTCTCTTCCTTTCCTTCTCCTCTCTTCCTTTCACCTCATCCCAAACATAGGGTTAAGTAGACCTTAAAATTATGTTTTCAACTTATATTACCTTTTGACCTTTTTCTATACTGAAAATCATTTAAAAATGACTTTAAATAAAATCATTTACTTCCAAATTACATTGGGCCAGGCGCCATATGAATTAACTTTCCTAATTTCCCTTATGGTTCGTTTTGCAGGCTGTACGGGTCTTTTTCCACTGGAGCAATAGCCATATTGGGGCTGCTAACCTCTGCATTCACTCCTATGCTACGGCCCTCAGTCGCTCTCCGCTCTTGCATTCTGTCATGCTCTCTACTTATTGCGTGATGATGATGCTATGCACTATAGCACTATGTGCCAATGTTAGCCTCTGCAGCACTAGTCTCAACTCTCGTGCAAGCCACTGGAGTGAAATTCTAAGGATTATTACCATCCTAACAGGTTCGACGGCAGTCATTTCCCTCCTTTCCATTAGCCATCCATATATTGCCTTAGTTTCCTTACTTGCATGGCTTGTTGTTGCTATTCACCTTAATTCTTAGTCTATATAGGGATTTTTCCAACCCATATTGCCTATCACCAACAACACATCTAATTCCTTATGTCAATATGGTACTTGGTACGATGAAAAATTGAATAACAAACCTGTACTTCTGATAAACTACAGCAATTTCAGAGTCCTTGCTAAACGATCAAATTTTTGTGTTATAGAGAGTAATTTATTGTAATTG